AGTACACTCCACCTGGCCATGCGCCGTGGGACGTGGACTATGGCGCGTTCGAGTGGCTTGTCGATGCGTACGGGCACAAGTTGACGCACCTCAAGATCGACGATCGCTATTACGAAGAAGACGAGGAAGTCGACCTCATGTGCTCGCTATTGCGGTGGTGCACCAGTCTGGACGTCGTTTCCGTCCCCGACACTTTTTACGACTTGGCCCTCGTCGCGGCGGTGACAACGCCAGCGCACGCCGCCTCGTCGCTGACTATCGTAAGCAGTCAAGCCGCGGAAGAGTGGGCTGCGGTCCTCGAGCCGTGGCTGCAGTCGGGCCACGCCACACACCTGCGGTATCAGACGGACACGTGTTTTAGCAGCCGCCAATGCCACGAGGCAAACGTGGGCATCGCGCGTATCCTTGCTGCCGCGAGCTCTCTTACGCACCTGGTCCTGATTGCTGCATTCGATGACCTTGATCCGCTCGTCGACGCCAGTGACTTGCGTTTCGACAACCTCGAGACCTTGGGCATTTCTGTCAAGTCTGGCGGACCCTTCGTCCAAAGCGTCCTCGATCGCGTCAACCCAGCCATGCTGACGTCGCTAGCCATCGCATGCAAGGACGATGACCTTGGCTTCGTCCTGGACATGCTACCGCGCTTCTCGGTTCTCCGAGAGCTCAAGCTTTGCAACGTCATGCTCACCAAGGTCGCGCAGCGGCTAGCGACCAAGATGGGCCCGTTGGCGCTGACGTCGCTAACGCTTCACGACGTCAGCATCTCACGTCAAGCCTTTCTCGTGCTTTCTACGCTTCTCGCCAACGCGCCAGACCTCGAGACGCTGGCATGGGGCGGGTACGATACGTACTATGATGGCGACACGCCGCTCGACACCTTGAACGATTTGGTCCCATCAACATTTGCCGACTGGATCCGCAACGGCGTGCGGGACATCCATTTCTACGCCTTTAAAGTCCCCAACAGCTTTGGAAAACACCTCGCCCGCGCCCTTCGCGGTGCGACGAGTGTGTCGGGTGTCAAGATCAACGTGGTCGGGAACGCGTTCGGTGACGACGAGTACGAGGCGCTCCTGGACGCTCTCACGACCTGCACGGGCGTCGTCCTCTTCTTGGATCCGCACTGGCCGCAGTTGGTAAACCAAGCCGCCAAGCGAAACCTTGCTCTCGACGACGACAACGTTCCGACGTACGATTTTGACGAGATCGAGCGCCACCCGAACGATATCTGTTACCTGCCCAGAGACGGGCGCGACGTCGTCCGTGTCATGCGTCGTCTCTAGTCTCGCGTGCTAGCTCGTGAATGCATGTCTGCCTTGGACGAATTAATTCTTTCAAATGAGCCAGCCCTGTGTTTCTCTGAGGAATTGCGCTGCAGGATTGTCACAGGCGCTGCCACGTCATCTTGGCGCGGTCGATCAACTACCAACACGAGATGCACACGACGCTTTGCAGAATGGATCCTTGCAAATACCGAGCAGCACGTCCAGTACTTAGCATATAGCAGCGCAAGGACTGCATCAGGTATGGCTTCCGACCAACTGCAAGCTCAGACCTAATGCCGGCTCAGTCGGTGAGAGATCCGATATCATCGATTCAAGTAGAAGGGCGCCAACGTCGCATTGCTGAGAGTCGACAACTGAATTGCAAGTACGTCGCGCTGGCTCTTGAGACTTGCTGGTATGGTTGGTCTTCATGGTTGGTCTTGTCCGTTGTGATGGCGATGCAGTCCATCTGGTCTAGCCAGCTAGCTTCCATCTGATTGGCTAAAACGCCAAGCTGGTACTGCGTTCTATTGGCCAATTCCGTCGCATTCGCCGTTGTCATGGCGCTACATCGGACGTGGGCCTTGCTACCGACGCTGCTGGCGGCGCTGGTGGCACTCGCCGCCGCCGACGTTGTGACGCTGCACGTCCCGAGTGGCAGCGTCTACGGCTTCGTCAACGATCAATGCGTCCATCTGGTCGCCAGCGAACGCGACCAACGACCTCCTCGTCGCACTCTCGCTCTCGGCCAACGACACGCGCGCGATGCCGACGATCGCGCCGTCGCCGCTGGTCCTTCGCACGGGTGCGACGAGCGTCAACTTTACGATCACGGGCGCGATCCCAGGGCGGTACCCGCTGAGCTACAAGCTCGTGTCGCTCGTCTCTGGCAACACGACGTACGAGCTCAGCGCCGAGACGCTCGTCGTGTTCATTGTCAACGACCAGTGGCAGAGCACGCTGTCGCAGTTTGGCATCAACGTGGCCCTCGTGCTCGGCGGCGTCGGCCTCTTCCTCTGGCGGCGCGGGGCGAAGCGCGACTTGTGGTTTTGGGGCGCACCGATCGAAGGGGTCTTTGAACCCGATCCGTTCCGAAGCGACGAGACAATGCCGTCGCTGCTGGCAGCGCCCACGTGGCAGGAGCGCGGACGTCGTTTCTGGATGCTCGGCTGCGATGACGCGTACATCGTCGACGCCTGCGGTGTCGACGCTGCGCTCTTCTTGCGCTTCAACCTTGACGCGGCCAAGCTCTTTAGCGCACTCACAATCTTGAGCTGTGCACTCCTCTTGCCAATCGTACGAACGACGCGCACGTTGCACTTGGAGCCAGTGTTTCATCCACTGTATTTTTGTAGAATTTTGTATCGGGCGACGGCCCGACGACGTCGTCGCAGCAAGCCACGATCGCCAATGTCCCGGTGCAGAGTCCGTACTTTTGGGGCCACGTTGTCATGTGCTACCTCACGGCCGGCGCCGTCCTCTTCTTTGTGTTTCGGTCCGCTTTCCACTGGATTTTTTCCTGTCAAATTTGCCTTTTGTAGGCAGAACCGCCGGCTCGAGTACCTCCACCTGAACGACACGACGCTCATCGGTCCCCGCAGTGTCTTTGTCCAAGCTGGTTTGCCTCTGGATGTGACCCGGCACGAGCTGCGGCAATGGTTTCTCGCAGATTACCCAGAGGTTATACGAACAAAACCGATCGAAACACTGGATGAAACCAAATGCGTGCTAGGATATCGATCAAGTTTACGTTGTGGCCGACCTTAGCAGAGTCTATACGGTCTTGGAGCAACGCATGCGGTGGCGCAACGACCTCCAGCGCCTCGAAACGGTCTACATGTCGCCGTCGTCGTTGCCGCTCTCACCGTGGCTGCGCTATTGTCCCGGCGGTGCCTGCTGCCCGTCGCCGGCTGACATTTGGTTCGACTACCTCGCGCGCCGACCGTGTCAATCGCATGCTCATGTCGCCTCTCGACCGCTGCGCGAGCCGCTGCTGTCCGAGAACATGAGCACACCCAAGGATGCCGTCACCGACGACGACGAGACGGAGATGGTGCCGCCTCGTATTGTGGCCAAAGTTGCCGCGCTGCGCGCCCAGCTCGCCGCCGTCCCCGAGGTATATCGTCCATTTGGAAATGGATGACAATATGTCCTCGTTGCGTAGGACATTTTGAGCAACTATGCGCGCCGCACGGGCACGGGCGCTGCGTTTGTCGTCTTCAACTCGGTTGGCCACAATGTCCCGTTGACGATCTGATTGGTCGCATTGGTGTAGAACCGCGCCCGCGATCAATTTTTGGACCGGTTTCGGCAGACCCAAGCCCCTTTGTCGCAGTGCGTAGCATCCACCGCCGCAACCTTGTGTCGTCGCCGGCCGCGCCGCGCCACCGTCGACTCGTCCGGCCCTTCCCGTACAAAGACATGATCGTGTCCCGATGACGGCTCACGCTGTGAAACATGCAACGTAGGGTTGGCCCGGCACCTGTCCGACCTCGTGGTCCATCCTGCGCCCGAGCCGCATGATCTCAAGTGGGCCAAAATGGTAGGCATCTTCAAGTCCGCTCAAACGTACGATCGCTTGCGTAGACCTATCGTCCCCATTCCCTCCGTCGCTTCTGCCAGTTTGGCTTGTACCACGCGCTCACGATTGTGCTGCTCTTGCTCTTCTCGACACCGGCGTCGGTGCTGCTCTACTTCAACCTGCAGCCGGGCAGCGACGTCTATGGACGGGTCCTCACGTCCGACTCGCTGATTACCGGCTTTCTCCACACGTACTTGCCGACGCTCTTCCTGGTACAGAATTGATTGATGTTGGAAAATATTGTCAAAAATGCTATAAATCTCTCGGTGTAGGTGTGCGTCAACTGGGTCTTGCTCACGGTGCTGTTTTACGTGTCGTTTCTGGAGCCGTGGTTCACCGAGTCGCGGCGCATGCGGAGCTTTCTCTCCAAAGGGTTTGCGTACCTCTTTCTCGTACCACTCGCCTCTTGTTTCGATAGAATCTTATTCTTGTTTGTCGTCTAGAGTTCGATTTTGTTCCCTCGATTGGTGTCACGGCCGTCTACGCCGCGACCAAGACGTCGTCGCAGGTTGCGTTTGGCGGCGCGTCGTCCCGCGAAGTCAAGTACGTCAACGACTTTCTGTACAAGCTCTGCAGCAATTTTTTCGTGGGGTACATTTTGCAATTGTACGTGCAGACCCTACCCCTACTTTGGAGACCATGGTGCGATATATTGTTAGGACCTGCCTTGGGTCGCTCACGCAGCTGCTTCGTATCGGTGAAAAGCTGTTTTACCAGCCATGGTTGGCAATTTTACGCAACGAAAAATCGACAATAATGCCTGGAGGGTCATTTCCCGCGCTGTGACCACGGACGAAGTCCAAGCCGCGCGCGAGCCATGGCCTTTTTACTTTGGCTATGACTATGCCGTTCTCCTGAGGTATCCCGTGAGTACCAAGAGTACGTAATGACGTGTGCCTAGCGTCTTTACGATCGGCCTCCTGGGCTCGGTGCTGTCGCCGTACCTCGTACCGTGCGCTGCCGTCTTCTTCTTCGCCAAGTATTATGTCTCCAAGTACAACTTTGTGTACGTCCACCCCAAGACCCCGGGCCGCGGCAACGTGGCTCGCGCCGCATACTCGCTCGCACTCGTTTGCCTCCTCCTGTTTGAAGTACGACATAGGTTCAAATCGCCGCATGTTCATGGTCTTGGATAGTTGGCGATGACGAGCATTTTATCTCAACTCGGCAACGCCAACCAATGGCTCGCGCTCGTACTTTTGACATGTGCCACACTCGGTGTCTTTGTCTACTGGTGCGTTCCTACACTGGACCAATCTTGTCCATATACGATGCACACTAGGCGCGTCGTGGTGTACCGCGCCCTTGAGACAGAGACAAGTCCGACGCCGGTGGAGGTCGAGGCGCCGACCACGCAGCTGCGGCGGCAGCAGTCGATGGAGCTCTCGCGCGCCGTCTTTCAAGCGCACAGCTTGGGCGAAATGGAGGCGCTCGTGCATGCGCGGCCGACCCAAGCGTACATCAACCCTTACGACGTCGGACTTCAAATGCTCTCGGTGCTGCACCGGTACCAAGCGCTTCGAACCGCCAAGCTGCGCGACGCGTTCAACCTCTTGAAGCAGCAGCAGCATGAAGTGTGTTCGCCTTCGACCGCGGCGGCAAGCGACCCCTCCGAAAATGTCGACTGACATCAATACGTCGTTTTAACTGGCGATTGCGATCTTTGCTTTCCAAGACTCTTAACGAGCACGATGCGTCCATCGACACCCGAGTCGCTTACCGCCAAGACTCTGCTCCATGCAACCTCAAAAGGAGGTTGCCGACGCGCGCTACTACCTCGATACGCTGACAACGTTGTCGGGAAACCACTGCGCACTGCTGGCATTTTGCTTTAGCCTCGTCTCGCGAGTGTCGACGGGGTGACTGGATAAAGCTCGGTTATCCAGTCATCTCGGTACCTCAAAGGCTTTGATGCGCGCGGGCGAGAGAGATAGGCTTGTCTGCTGCAGATGATGAACAGAATCGGAGTGTTGAGTTGGGTGCGCGACCGGGTGCACCGTCACCGTCGGCGGCGACGTTGAAATAGTATCAACTCTGGCATCGTTGATACTTCGAGAGCTTGAAACTACCTGCACCAAGTATTTTTTCCAGAACGGATACGATCTCCAAAAACATACTAGGAAATGGTGCTTGCATTTCGTTCCGGGAGCGTCAAGCGACGAGCAGCGACCGCAGGTGCCTCGGACAACCTTGCCTGTCGGCCTGTAGTTTGAAGCGTGTGGCAGAGCTGCACCGCAAACTCGGGCATGGAGCTGACGCCCGGTAGTCTTCCCAGGGGTACATAATCCCTTGAGTCTATCACGGTACTAGTCACAACTCACCCGAAAACGGAGGCGCTAAACTTAGCGCAGAGGGCGTGTTTTCATACGTGGCGCGTTGCGGTTTTGAACATGCTGCCGCGGCTTCCGCTACACGATCCGAGCAGCGTTGCGGCGGCGTCAAGGGCCTTTAAACCATCGCCTCGCACTACATCGCGCCGACGGGAGCCGTCTCCGCGCCTCGAAGAGCGTCCTGACGACGACGATGCGCACGTCAGCTACATTCCGCGCGAGTACTATGTCGTTGAAACTCATGCCGTGCCGACGTACAATCCGCAGCAGTTTGCATCTTCGTTCAAAGTGGGTCCTAACGGTCACGGCATTTGGGAGACCATCGTCTTTCCTTCGCTCGAGCCCCACACGCGCCAAGAGGTACTCTACCTCCAGCAAGCCCTTCACGCGATGCAAGCCAACGCGGCCACCGAAGCGTCGTCGTCAGCACCGAGCCAGGTCGCGGCCGAGTGGCGCATCTACGCGGTTGTCTTCCACGAGCTCATTCGTCAAATGAAGTTCATCTGCAAAGAGCAAGCGACGATCGTCACATACCTCGTCTCGCAGATGCAGTCGCTTTTCGTCCGCCTCCACGACCACGTCAAGATCCTCGAAGCCGCGTCGCTCTTGGTACCGCCGACCACCGTACAAGTCCTGACGCCGGCGCCGCCACCCACCCCCAAGCCACCTGCAAGCGGCCACCGCCCGTGCCCGAGCAAGCCAGGTGCGTGCCTTTTGGCCTTTTGTAGCCACCTTTCGCTATCGAAATGGTCTAGTGCATGCCTGGATCGCGAGTCAGAGGAGGAGGACGACGACGACGCGGACGAAGAAGGGTTTGTGTGCTCATTGTGCCTCGAGTACTCGAAAGATCCGGCTCGGGAAGCCACGCGCCGCAGCACGCTTCTCAGTAGCATCACGATGCGTCACCTTGGCACGTCGATTAACGGCGACAACCGCAAGCTCCAAGCGATCCGAAAACTCCAAGCCGTCTTTCGCGGGTATCGCATTCGGCGTGACAAGTGGATTGTGGACCGCGTCCGGCGCCGGCAGCACGCCGCGCGAACGATCCAACGCGCTTTTCAGCGCTTTGAGCAGCGCAAGCGAGCCATCGCCAAGAAGAGGGCGCAGGACACGTGGCGCAAGCACGTGACGATGATATTGGCCGTGCGTCGACTGCAAAAACGGGTGCGCAAATTCCTGCAAGTTGGCCGCGAGTACCGCGAAGGGCAATTGAGTTTGGTCGCAAACCGCTTCAAGCTCGCGGGCCGGGACCTCAGTCAAGTCCTGGACGAAAAGTGCACGCAGTTGGAGACGATTTCGCGTCGCCTCCAAAACTTTCAGATTCAGATTCAGCACATGGTGGCCTTGATTGTACCTGGTACACGTCCTGCACCAGCGACGACATTGCGATTGTCGCAGGAAGTCTCCGAAGTCGACCCCGTCGACTGCTGTGGCGACGTGCACTTGGCGCTCGTTGAGCTTCACCACCACGTGAGCGAGCTCCACGTGCGCGAACAGCGTGTCCAGCGCGAGTCGGAAGCGACGTTATGCAAGCTGCGCGAGGCCCAGCGCGCGTGGGACGAGGCCAAGCGCGCGAACGTCGGGTTCGGCAAGGACGACGACGACGAAGACACGATCGATGGGTGGGCGATTGGCGCACCGCGCACGAGTTCGTCGCCTGCTCGCCCAACGTCGGTCGTCAGAACTGCTGCCCCGGACGTGCCCGAGCCCGAGCCCCACGGTAACAAGAGTCTCACGCAAGAGCTGTACGCGACAATGAAGCCGCTGCGGTATGGCAAGAAATGGCTCGCACACACCAACCTGAAGCGGGAGCCCACCGTCGAGTCGCCAGTCGCAACCATCGAAACGAGTGCGCTGCACGACGACGTCGTAGTTGTTGCGACGGAGCGCAGTGGCTCACTCGCGTCAACGGGGCACTCCGTGACCACCGAGGGCCATCGCGGCGCCGTGCTCATGCACCGGTTCCGGTCAACACAGAGTCTCGAGCGCCCGCGGCGGCCCCTGGGCTGGGTCAAGCAGCTGCTCGTGCACATCTACGAGACGATCGCGCTCGCACTGCGCGAAGAGCGGCAGTCGTGGCCACCACATGTCGCCACCGCGCTTGTCCATCAGTTTGACTTGTCGCTGACGCTGCCCGAGGCGCAGGCCGTCGCTTCGGCCATGCGCGACCTCCGCAGCGCCAAGCCCGCGACGAGCTTGTCGGACATCATTTGCCGGCACTTTCAAGCCCACTTTGGACTTCCGCAGCTCGTGGACCAAGCCATCTACGACCTCGCGACGCACATCCACGAGTACGCCCAGCGCGACCCGGACGTCCACCTCTTTCAGCATTTTCTCAACGGCACGCGGTCCCGCGCCAACCTCGCGTTCTTCTCGTATGTTCGCCAGCTCTGCGCCGCGCTGAGCCGCGACGATGCGTCGTCGAGTCCGCGCTTGCCGTACTTGCACGCGACGTCCAGCCGAGAGGTGAGACAGCCGACACAACCTTTTCCGCAACGTCCACTCACAGCAATGTAGCTCATCGATGTGCCGCATGCGCTCAAGGTGGCGCAGATCCTATTGCGCGTCCGCGACGAAACCATCCTCCTCGAAGCCGACCCGCTCGTGGACCTCAATGGCCGGACGCCATCGGCTCTCTTTGAGCAATGCCGCGCTGCGATCGAAGCCAAGGCGCAGGAAGCCGTGCGTGAGACCCACGAATTTGACCAGGATGGAAACGACAACGACGACGAGAGCATCGAGAAGCCTCGGCACGCGTTCAACGCGCTCTTGCAGCCGCTCAAGTTTCACTCGCACCTGCCAGCGAGCCGGAGCCCGGTGCGGAGCCGCGTGCAGACGACGCATCCGCCGTCGCTCTCGCCGGTGTTGTATTTTGCCGACTTTTTCGACATTTTATGCAAATTCCACGCTGAAGTGCACGTGCATGCGACCCAGCGCGAGTGGCTGCAGGAGACCTTCGACACGATCGACGGCGACCGACGGGTGCATCCACATCGAGGCGTTTGTGAGCCACCTCTCGGCGCTGCCCAAGGCGCCGACGCCCCGCGAGCTCCATCAGATCTACCGCCACGCGCTGCAAGTGCCGCTGGACCGCACCAAAGTGCCAACGGCACGGGTCGGTCCCATGGGCTTCCGCACGTTTTTTGGGATTGTGCAGCGGCTGCTCGCGACCAAGCAGCTGCGCCCGTCGGCGCTGCACGCCGAGGCGGACGACGACGACCCCGACCCGACCATCGCCCACGACAAGATGAAGCTGCAGACAATCATGCACCGCCTCACGCTCGACTGGCTCGAGAAGGAGCCGTTCGTCGAAGCCGCGCTGGCCCACGACGCCGGCCGGCACTTGGGCCCGCGCCTGCGACAGCTCTGCGTCGAGCTCACGCAAGCGCTGTGCCTCAAGCCATCGACCGACGCGATCGAGACGCGCATCGAGCAAATGCAAGCGGCGTGGGAGCGCTACTGCGCGATCATTTGCGTGGTCATGGTGCTCGAGATCAAGCGCGCTGGCGGCGTCAGCGTCGTCGAAGCACAGCTCGGCGACGTCGACCGGGTCTGGAATGTGTGCTTTCGCAAGCCCGCGACGGACGTGCCAACGGTGACCACTGTCTAAAACACACTTTGCTTCGGGATGTTGACGCTGCCTCGGCGTACAGGCGGAAGACACGCGCATGTGGTGGGTCGCTGCATCAGATGCGGCGAATCTCGGCGTATCTTGGTTGTCGGGGCACGGTGCTACGTAGCTACTCTTCGGTGCGTGGATCTGCATCGTGCGGGGCGTCCTCGGCTGGCATCGACGACAACTCTGTACCGACTATCGTCGACTAACTACTAACTGTTAATCGTTGCTGAGTCTCTCAGTTGTCCATGAAACGAGAAGCAACTGCGTGGGTTTCGCGTGTTGCGATCTTCGTCGTCGCAAATTTTGCTCGCTGTTAGTGACGCGCCATGTTTATTTCCCCGTGTCAATCCACGCTTTCGATTGGTCGAAAGAAGACCATTTTGGCCAATGGCATCGCCGAACGCTTCAACCAGCCCATCATCTATTTCCTGTTGGACGCCATCATCATCAGCCGGCGCTGCAGGCCCGACGCCATCCTCACATGCTGGATCTCCTCTCGCCAGTGAACAGCGCGGCGGAAGGCAGACCACTCCTCTTCCGCACCACAAGGTACCTGTCGAGGCGACTTCACTCGATCATGGCATGACTAGCTTTGGCGACCTCTCGGGCAACACGACGGGCTCGGCGAGCACGCCGTCCGTGGACGCGCCGTTTAGCAGCTCGCGGGGCCTGCGCGAGCACCTGCGCCGCCACTCGGAGAGCAGCTTGAGCTACGGTGAGTCGCCGCGCGACCTCTTCACGGAGCCAGGTCGCGTCCACCAGCTCCGCAAGGCGCGGTGCGCGCTCGTCTTTGCGCTCTCGCTCTCGGCACTGGGCATCGTGTGGATGCTCACGATGCTCTTTGTACTCACGGACTTGAACACGGACGAGTACATCTTCTCGGGCGCGGTTGTCTCGTTCCTATTTTGCTCGGCGATCCTATGGAGCTACTCGGGCTGCCACCGACTGCAGAAGTACCCGAACCAGCTCATTGTCCATAAATCGTAAGTCCTTTTCATGCATCGATAAAGACTACTACATAGCGAGCGCGTGCTCTGTAGGGCTCTCGACTGGCTCCTCGCGCTGGCCTACATGCTGCAGTACCTTCTGACGTTGCCGATGCTGCCACGCACCGTTCATTTGCCGGCCGCGACGCCCGCACTGACCCAAGGTGTGTGCACAATATCGTCATAAAATGTGTGGACAATACGAGTCGGTGACTAGCTTTGTTGCTCGCGGCGGAATTCTGGTCGTGCGCCATGAGTTTGGACTTGTACCAGTCGATCTCGAACCCATTTACCTCGTTTTCGTACAACTTGAACGTGTACCGGGTCACGTCGCTTGGGCTCGGCGCTATCTCGGGGCTTGTCTTTTACCAACTGGAAGTTGTACCGGGGCACTGCGCGCTCGACCGGGGCACACGCTACTACTGGTACCACCACGGCGACCCGTCGCTTCCGCTGCGGGACTTTGTCCTCAAGGAGTGGACATATTACTATCTCTGGGTCGTTTTGTTCATGCTCATCTCGCTCGGAACGCTGCTCTACGTGAACCGGTATCATCCCGTCTTTGCTCGCATGGTACATCACTGTCGATGGTCTTAGGCGGCTTCGGCGCGGCTTGGAAGAAACCTTCGAGACGCGCAAGAAGGTGCTCGTGCATGGCCTTATCGCCAGCGGCACGTACGTCTCGTGGTCGACCTGGGTCATCCTCCTCTTCTCAGTCGGCTCGCTCGTGCTCCCGCTGCACTCGTACCCTTCGTTATCATCCGCGATTGCATCGTCCGCTGACACGACCTGCGTAGGCTTCTCGCGGCCAAGCACCTCGCCGGCATTCTAAACCTCAGCGCGTTCACGCACGGCGCCCGCGGCTGCGTCAACTTGCTTGTCTGGGCGTGCACGAATGCGTCCGATGTCTGGAACGTGCTCTTCTTCGCGCGTCGGGAGCGGTCGCTCTCGGACGACTGGCTGCTGGAGAACCCGGACGAGAGCCTCAAGCCGCAGCTGAATTTGGCTCTGCGCAAGCAAGTGATTCAGATGGCGACGCGCGGTATCGTCGATGCGATCGAGCACTACCAGCTGCTGCACCAGAGCATTCGCACGACGCAGTCGTTCCACCTCGACTGGGACCTCCGGCAGCGCGCCAAGTCGTCCATGTCGGCGTCGCTCTCGTCGGCGCGACGGATCGGCATGGAGGAAATGCAGTTTTACGACTTTCAGCCGCGATTGTTTGCGACCATTCGGGCGCTCATGGGGCTCAACGAGGACGAGTACCTCCGGAGCTTCCGGCACACGGCCAACGAGCGGCTCTCGGAAGGCCGGAGCGGTGCGTTCGTCTTCAACACGATCAACCGCAAGTACCTCGTCAAGTCCATGACCGAGGACGAGCGCGACTTCCTCATCTCGATCTTACCCGCGTATTTGCAGTACCTCAAGTGGAACCCGTCGACGCTCCTCCCTCGGTTTTATGGCCTCCATGCGATGAAGATGTACGGCAAGACGTTCTTCTTTGTGGTCATGGCCAACATCTTCCCGACGCGCGAAGTCATCCACCGACGCTACGACGTGAAAGGCAGCTGGATTGACCGCAACGCGCCGGTCTGTGTCCTCGGCGACAAGTATCAATGCGCCAACTGCAACCGGTACTTCGTGTTTGGCGATTTGGAAGAGTGCCCGAGCGTCGTCGGCGAGCACTACCCGGACATCACCTTGCGCGACAACGACCTCAAGAAGCGCATCAAGCTGCCACGAGGTACGCTTGTATATACCCTTTGGACGCCGGCATAGCATACACGCTTCCATAGAGACTTCGCATGCGCTGCTCAAGCAGATCGCCCGGGACAGCGACTTTCTCTGCGGCATGGTACAGGCTCCGCGGACATGCAACCCGTCTCATTGTTGATGTTGTAGGGCATCATGGACTACTCGCTCCTCATCGGCATGCACTACAGCCAATTCCGCATCTCGCGCGCGGAGAAGAAGACGTCGACGTCTCTGCGCAAGGACGTGCTGCAAAGAGACTTGGGCGATCGCGTCGACGCGATGAGTCCGAGCATGACCAACCCCGTGCTGCGTGTGAGCCACAACGCGTCGCCGAAGCTGTCGTGGCGAACGCGGCACGACTCGGCGTCGTCGTCGTCGTACTCCAAGACCCACGGCGACTCGATTGCTTTGGATGACGACGACGACGGCAACAGCGCCGGGCGCATCCATGCGCACTGCGTCTCCGGCCCAAGTGCGTACTACGTTGGCATCATTGACGTGCTGCAGACGTGGACGTTCGAGAAGCAGATGGAGCGCCTCTACAAAGTTCATGTCCTCCGGAAAGACCCGCGGGGCATCTCGGCCGTGCACCCAAGCAGTACGCCAAGCGCTTCCAGATGAAAATGTGCCAGCTACTGTACCAACCCGGCGACGACGACAACCCGGCGTCGTAGTCCTTATTAACCTAAACTAGTACCTATTGCATAGACGTATCTTGTCAGCATGGCGAACGACAAGAGATCGCGGACGTTGGCACAGCCTCGCTGACCGAGGTGGTGCGACCGGCTTGACTGCTCGCGACAAGTCACAGGAGGACTTGCCCCAATAGCACAAAGGGAAAGGAACCTTGGCAGCCGCGAGCGATGCGATGCGATGGTGACCTTGCTCCGACTCCACCTCTTGTGGCGCACTCGAGTGACTGGCGCACCTGGCGTTGAGGATTGTACTTGAGACCATTCTGCTTGTGGCGAATACCTCCACCATAAGCATGCTCTTGGCTCACTCCATGGGTCGCTGGCCAAGGTGGGCCACTCGATGTGCTAGACCGTTTGCATCGCACGGCAATTGCGTTGAAGCACCAGGAGACAGCTCCTTCATGGCTGTGGCACCGCTGTACGCCCCTGGCGTGATTCCTGCCACATATTCCTATGGTAGCACCCATGCGACCAGTCCTTGCAAGCACACGACTGTGCAGGATCCAAGCAAGTCGCTGCTACAGCCGTGGTTGGCCCAACAATTGTGGGCTGGGCGGCTTCTAGCACCGATGCGTACCCTGTCTTCGCCCACACAAGACCATTTGGCGACGATGTAGCGACGGCGCCGACGCGTCGCGGCCATGCTGCGCGGCTACGCCCGGCGGCGGAGCGAGCGGCGCTGGAAGCTTCGTTTTCCACCGAAATGACGCAATAAGATGTCACGGGGTGTATCATGTGTGGGAGGTTTGGAGAAAACGACTTGGCTTCAGTATGGAGGCGCATCGAGGGTGGCAAAAGGAGTTTGAGATTTCCAGTCAACCAGGCAGAGCAGCAGCATGGACCTCGTGGTGGATGGTACGCGCACGTCCGGCAAGGACGTCCGTGAGCAGAACGTGACCGCGGCCTTGGCCATTGCCAACATCGTCAAGTCGTCTTTGGGTCCCGTCGGCCTCGACAAGATGCTCGTAGGCCAAAGCTTCCTCCGCCACCGCTTTCTCATCTTGGACGTAGGTCGATGACATTGGCGACGTGACGATCACAAACGATGGTGCGACGATCCTCAAGCTCCTCGAAGTCGAGCACCCGGCCGGTAAGGTTCTTGTCGAGCTTGCGGGTCTCCAGGACCAGGAAGTCGGCGATGGCACGACGTCGGTCGTCATTATCGCCGCCGAGCTCCTCAAGCGCGCGAACGAACTCGTCCAGAACAAGATCCACCCGACGTCGATCATTTCGGGCTACCGCTTGGCGATGCGCGAGGCCGTCAAGTACATCAAGGAGCACCTGAGCGTGCCCGTCGACTCGATCGGCCGCGAGTCGCTCGTGAACGCGGCCAAGACGTCGATGAGCTCCAAGATCATTGGCCCCGAGAGCGAATTCTTCGCCAACCTCGTCGTCGACGCCGTCACGTCGGTCAAGACGACGGAAGAGGGCGCGAAGGGCAAGATTGTGACCAAGTACCCGGTCAGCGCCATCAACGTGCTCAAGGCCCACGGCAAGAGCGCGCTCGAGTCGCAGCTTGTCGATGGGTTTGCGCTCAACTGCACGCGCGCGTCGCAGGCGATGCCCAACACGATCAAGGGTGCCAAGATTGCGCTCCTCGACTTTGACTTGCAGCGCCACAAGATGCAGATGGGCGTCCAGATGGTCGTGACGGACCCGAAGGAGGTCGACCAGATCCGCCAGCGCGAGTACGACATCACGAAGGAGCGCATCCAGAAGATCCTCGACGCCGGTGCCAACGTGATTCTGACGACCAAGGGCATTGATGATCTCTGCATGAAGTACTTTGTCGAAGCGGGCTGCATGGGCGTCCGCCGCTGCAAGAAGGAAGACCTCCGCCGCATTGCCAAGGCCACGGGCGGCCAGGTTGTCCTGACCCTTGCCGACATGGAAGGCGAAGAGACGTACGACGCGGCGTGCCTCGGCCACGCCGCCGAAGTCTCGGAGGAGCGCGTCGGCGATGGTGAGCTCATCTACATCAAGGGCTGCGCCACGCGCCGTGCGACGACGGTCGTCCTCCGCGGCGCCAACGAGATGGCGCTCGACGAAATCGACCGGTCGCTCCACGATTCGCTCATGGTCGTCAAGCGCATGCTCGAGTCCAACCAGCTCGTGGCCGGCGGCGGCGCCGTCGAGAGCGCGCTGAGCATCTACCTCGAGAACTTTGCGACGACCTTGGGCTCGCGCGAGCAGCTCGCGATCGCCGAGTTTGCCGACGCGCTCCTCGTCATCCCCAAGACGCTGGCCGTGAACGCGGCCAAAGACGCGTCGGAGCTGGTCGCGCGCCTTCGCGCCCACCACAACACGAGCCAGGTGGACCCGACGAAGAAGGCGCTGCGCTTCACGGGCCTCGACCTGCTGCAGGGCAAGGTCCGGGACAACCTCGAGGCCGGCGTCGTGGAGCCCGCGATCTCCAAGATCAAGAGCCTCCGGTTCGCGACCGAAGCCGCGATCACGATCCTCCGCATTGACGACATGATCCGACTGAACCCCAAGGACGACCAGGGCCAATAAGACATGTGGCAGCCTCCGTTTTGTCCGACTAATAGCACACAATACAAGAATCAGATATGTAGTAGGTTACACGTTGTGTGTTTTGTATCAATGTATCAAATAGGTCGGGTCACGGCTCGTCCTCGGACGGGGCGGCCGTGCGGTCGGCGTGGAGCTGGATCGCGGCAAGGCGCTCGTCGTCCGTGATGGCGATGCCATCGAGCTTGCTGAGTTTCGGCAACAGCAAGAGCATATCCAGTCGATAGTGTTCGACTTCGGTCACCGCGTTGCCTAGTCATTTTTACGAAAACAAGCCACCAACGCATGGGCTACCGCACCCGTGAGATCAACGTCCTGGAGTTTGGTCAAGGCGCCGAGCGCCGCCAGGTCGGCCAACGTCGTCATCTACACGATCTCGATGCAAGCAGCAGTCGCACATACGCGTTCAAGTAGTACATTGTTGAGCTCTGCCTTGAAGCTGGTGAGGTTGGGAAAGGCGCCAAGGCCGTTCAAGTTGGTCAGTTGGTTCTCGCTCTACATAGGGTATACTAGTGTGCAGCAGAATGAGACAAGACGGCTACGATGATCAACGACTCGAGCGACAAGAGCTGGGCGGGGTACCCAGCTCGGCGATCGCGTTCTGCGAGATCTCGAGTGCTTTAAGCGCCGGAAAGTCGCCGAGTCCCGTTAGCGACGTGATCGCATTGCCTGCAGCGACACGTTGCCGGTGCTACAGCAGGAACAGAACTGTACCGTTGACCTTGAGGGCCTCGAGGCTCTTGCTCTCACCGCCGGTCAGGGCGGTGAGCTGGTTCTTGGACACATCCAGCGCCTACGATAGCATACGCATCGAGTCGAAGAGGTTTGCGGATGGACCTTGAGGTGCGCGTTCTTGAGCTTGGGGATCTCGCGAAAGCTGTTCTCGGCGAGGTTGAGGTGCACGAGGTACTCGAGCGCCGTCACAGGCGATGCGTCCGAGAGCTTGTTGCGTGCGACGTTGACGAACCGGAGGTGTCGGAAGTCTTTGATCTGGTCCAAGCTGCCGAGCTCCTTGCCCTACAGCAGTGTTGGCGGCGGGTGGCAGAAGTACGAGCAAGTACGTTGATGTCGACGGCGGTGAACGCAAAGCCCGCATTGTCGGCGGTCCGGTCGATGCGTGAGAGCGACTCGGAGAAGAGCTTGAACATGGGCGGCCGCCCATCGTCGTCGGGTGACCCCGCCGTCGTCGCTTCCTGCAACGTGTCGCTCATGAAGCTCGGTCGAAATCGAAGAATAAATAGGTCGTGTTTAGGTTACAGCCTTGCGCTTCTTGTTCTGGACGGCGTCGCCGATGGCCACGAGCCGGCGGTAGAGCGTCGCGCTGTCCATGTAGTCGGCTTTGGTCGGCGCGAGCCGGAAGAGGATCGCATCGAGCTTGCGGGCGAGCGAGGGTAGTTTCTGTAGCACATGCGCGGGCGCATCCGGGCGAAACGTGCGCAGCAGTCGCACAAGATGGGCCTCGATGTACAAGCGTTCGTCCGGCCGCACGTCCGTGAGGCTACTGGCGGGGGCAAGCGTCACGGCGGCAAAGATCCGGCTCAGGCCCGCCAGGTCCAGCGCGTGGTCGCCGACCATGGCCGTGTACGAGCGCTTGAGCGACGACGTTGTCGGCGAGTCCATGCAGCGGCCGGTGGTCAAGCCGCTGCTCTCGGCCATCGTCGTTGACGTCGTCGTCGGGCCTGTCCATGGCGGCGCGAGCATGGTCGGATGAGCGAGCGAAACTGAGCTGCGGCGATCGGTGGGTTTTTTAATGCGCAACATATTTTTATGGACAAGTCATCCAGCGAGGTGACGCTTTCTTTTAATTGTACTAGGTATTTGTATGCAAACCGGGGTGGGCACCGGCCGCCACGACCGCGCACGCAATAGAAATCACTTGGAGCGCGAAATTAAATATAGATCCACTGCGCGTCACGGCCGTTTAGTTAGTCGACGCGGTGGCTCGAGTCGCTTTCTAGTCGCTGGTGCCTCATGGAAAGGCGGGTCGCTTGCAGAGCGGGCACGCGTTGCTGCCCTTCTCGAACCACTTGTCGATGCAGCTTCGATGGTAAATGTGCGTGCACGGAAGAGGCTACACGTCACGACGCCAAGCTACTTGAGGCCAGCGTCCGTCCAGAGCAGCGAGTACCTTGATTTGATGGCACGGACCAAACTCGTCGAGGCAGATCGCGCAGCATGCCGCATCGCCCGACAGCATCATCTAATGCGTCGTGTGAGGAGGATGGTGGCGTCTGGATGCGTACTAGGTCCAAGTGCTGGCTGTACGAGACGACGTTCAAGTGGCGCCACGGGCCGTGTAAAACTACATGGACCGATCAGGATCCTAGAGAGAGAAGGCGAAGGCGTACACATTCGCCGCGCGACGGCCGCGGACCAGTTGAGAAGCAGCGTGTAGAGGCTACTACATGCAGCGAAATGAAGCATCTCCGTCGTGCCGTCAACCAACCTGGTACCTCAAGAGAACATAGGCGAACGATATCGCGTAGGCGTAGCCCATGTAGGGCAGCATGGCCTGGCCAAAGTCGAGGGCCGCGTGGACGAGCCGGACGTGCTCGGCGCTGAGGTCATAGCGCTCGAGGTATTGTGTGATCGTGTCGACTAGGGTCATACTAGTACGTATCCAGCGCCAGCTTCTACCTTCGCCCGTGCCGTTGAGCGACACGGCGACGTAGCCAGCGCGAACATGCGCAGCGAGTTCGCGGCCCGTGGCGTGCGACACAAAGACCGCGGGAATGGTCATCGCTGGCGTCGTCGCGTCGTGCTCGTCACTGTGCATCCGAACTTCCCACCTACGCATGTCGCAATATTATGACGTGGCAGCACGAGCACGAGGCAAAACGCACCGTTCCCGGTCGACATCGTCCATGACGATGAGACCCGACGCGTTGGCGCGTTGCGCAAGGAGTGCTTTCGTGACGAAGCGGCACTTGCCGCGCCGCGCGAGGAGGACCTTGCCGGTCGCATTGAGCTCGCGAGCGAGTGGTGCGCACAAGTCAAGCGGTGACGCTACCGCCATCACATTGCCATTGCCGTCTTGCTGTACTACTCGGTGAAATGATCGTACCCAGAAGTAGCTCGTGCTCCTGGAGGGCATGGTGTGCGCCAAAGTCAGCTGGACTAGCCACCCATCCGGCTCAGGCTACTATAGCCCATGGAAGGAACGTACATGTGCACCTTCTCGGAACAGCATGGGCTATCACATCCTTTGATCAGAACACATCATGCAGCCACGGGTTCGACGCTTGTGGTACAACGTACGCCTCGAGAACCAGGGCAAAGAACGGCTTGGCGCACGCGAGAAGCAGGGCAACGCAGGCGCGCATAGATCGATGATGGGGGTCAACACGCGAGCCGGAGCCGCCGTTTCAGTGGGTATTCAGAGCGCGCCTAAAATAGCTTGGATAACGGCGCGGGAGAGTCTACTCGAACCAAGGGCGCCATCTTGATCTGGGGACCCTTGTGTCCATCCATTCCCGTGTGCCATGATTCTCTTGGATTGTCACACGAGGGGCCTCTTCGTGTTGGACAAGACATACGAGGAACTGAGAGGATGGTGGTGGTGGTTGCTACTCGGTGTCGCACTCGATGTCGGCATTCCAAAGAGTGGTCGTGCAGTGGGGGTTGTTGAGGGTGTCAGTGCAGCGATCGGCGATCGGTCGCGACCTATCAACTTTAGATGATGGAAAGGGCCGTGTCTCGGCGATATTGCGCCGGGTGCGGTGGCGACTCACGCTGCCGTCGAGACAGTACTCGTCGAGATTTTTGGCGGCGACCTTCACTAGGCCCAAGATGCGTGTACCTTCAAGGATGTCCCGTGGGCGCGATCTTCGGCCGGCCGGCCTGTCGCGCGAGCCAATGGCATCGCGCTATTTTCCGACCTACAGCTTTTCGCGCTCTCTGATTGGTCGACGTCGAATTCGTCGCTGAATATAAAAATCAAACGAGCAAGAAAAAGACGTTGAATATTCAAAAATAGATATTGAGCGCACTCTACTGCGCGAGTTCATTCCGTCGGAACCGAGACAAGAAGAAGATGGCTCGGACGTCGGCGATCAGTGACGAGGTCTGGGCGAACGCGATCCGCGCCGTCATGGTCGACAAGATGAGCCTGCGCACGGCAGCGCAGAAGTTTGGCGTCCACCACATGTCGCTCCACCGGCGGATAAAGGACCTGCGCGGCGACGCCAAGCCCGAGAAGGCCAAGCCCGCGCCGCCAGCGACCGCGTACCTGCCGCAGGGCGGGAGCATGCTCAACATGATGAACATGGCCTACCACCCGAACATGGCCGCGTCGGCCGACCCGCGAAGCCTCATGAAGCCACCGTCGTACGGCGCGCCGCCGCCCATGCGTCCAGTGGGCCACTTGCCACCCGGTGGCGGCGGACCGCCCATGATGCTCGGCCCGATGCCCGGCTACCAGGACATGCCGCTGCCTAATATGAAGGCGTCGCCGAAGCGCAACAGTCCCGTGCATCAAGCGGCCAACTGGTCCAAAGCGCTCCAGGCCGTCGAGACAGGCCACATCAACGTCATGCAAGCGGCAAGCGCCTTTACGCTCGACCCGTCCTCGCTGCACGAGCACATCAAGAAGCGGTCCGAAGACATGGTACGGTGTCCTTACCTCGACGCACGCTCATCGCTTCTAGGCGGGCATGAACCCAGCGGACTATCTGAATCTGCTTGACGAGTTTGGCGTTGTCAAGGTGCTGGTCGCGCGCGCCGAGCTCGGTGTGCTTATGTCGTTTGAAGAGCTCGCCGAGCTCCTCCAGCGCACGATGTTCAAGACGGGCCACGCGTGCCACGGTGCGGAATACTGGATGCCAAAATCCTGGCTACTCGCACGGTACAGAATTGTTGATGGTTTTTTCTGTGTAGGCGACGCTCTGCAGAAGCTACTGTTTACGTTTGAAGTACGCAACGAGCACATCATGCGCACAACGATCGCCAACTATAACATGCGATCGCCGCGCCAGCGCATGCCACCGATGCGGCCACAGGACATGCTGCACCTCTCGCAGCAACCGCCCCAGCAGCCGCACCAGCAGCCGCACCAGCAACCGCACCAGCAACCGCACCAAGGCCAGCAACACCAAGGTCAGCAGCCGCCGGCACACCACCACCAGCAGGCCTCGCCGTACGCGACGCACCACCAGGCACACCACCAGCTGCATTCGTTGCACCAACCACAGCAGCACCAACAGCAGCAGCACCAGCAGCAGCAGCAGCAACAACAACAACAACAACACGTACAACATGGCCAACTGCACGCAATGGGACGGTCGCCGCCGCAGCACTCGATGTTGTCGCCGTACCAGATGCAGCAGCGGTCGGACCCGCAGGTCCGAGTCGCCTTGTCCCCACGGCGACAGGTGTGCTCAATATGAAGCCTGCTGTGTAGGATGGCGACGCGTTCTTGCGCCCGGACGCCCGAAGCAGCGGCTATGCGCTGCCCGAGGCGCGGCAGCAAGACGTCAAGGCGGCCCACTACCTGGCACCGACCGCCGCTGATCTCAAGCGAGAGGACTCGCGCCATTATATGGCGCCGACCGCCAACCTCCTGATCGCCTCCAACAAGATCAACGTGCGCAGCCCGCCGGTCGAGCAGCAGGAGCCCGCGCCGTCGGAGGAGCAGCCAGGCAAGAAGCGCAAGATTGACGCGTCGGGCGGCGAGTCGCCAGGGTAAGCACGAGGCTCAATGAAGAAGCATGAGTCTCAAGCTAAGGTGTTGGTAGGACGACGAGCTCGATCGAGGAAAACTCGAACGAGAGCAGCAACCGCGCGCCAAAAACGCTCGATGTCGTCGAGATCTAACGACGACAACGGAGACGACGACGACGTCGTATGGACGTACAAGCAGCAGCACGAACGAGGAAGAGAAGACGCGAGCCCGCCTGTAATGTATAGATAGACCAAGATAATAATGATGAGAGATGGCTCGCAACTCGAGGCTCATCGATCGATCGCTAGCAGGCGCGCGGCCTCGGCCAGCGACAGCGTCACGTCCACGTACTCGACGTCGCTCAGCTTGACGACTGCGCGCGGGTACGTACCCAACGGCGTGTGGAGGTCCGTGAGCCCGACCAAGCTTTGACGGCCGTTCACGCCGCCGATCGTACCTTCGAGGATTGCGCGGCTAGCATGGCCCATGAGGATCGTTGGACATGGGTCGAAGCGCTACCTCTGGTTGAGCGTGACCCGCGCGGGCTTGGCGACGATCGCGTCGAAGTAGCGGAGGCTCGCGTAGCGGTGGTGGTCGGTGTCCATCTCGGAATGGATATCCCACCGTGTAAATCACAGCAAAAGCACGCCGTTTCTATGAGTGTGAAACGTGTAAAAGGCTGGCGTGGTGGGTTTTGGCTGGCCAATCGCAGGTAGTAGTACAACAGCCATGCTGCAGCAGCTCGATCTCGCGGCCGACGCCGAGGCCCGCTTGCAGGAGCTATTGGCGCCGACGCTTCGCTTGCCGTCGACGCAGGACCAGTTCCGCACGGGGCGTCGGACGCTCAAGAAGATCGAGAAGGCGTACGACACCTTGACCGCGCTCGGCGTACCCTTTGCGCTCATCGAAGAAGGGCTCGCGCACGCCAACGACGCCGCCGGCGCGCTCCGCTACATCTGCTTGTACCACTCGAGCAGCGACCTGCCGCCGCGCTTCCGTGCCAACGTGCCCAAGCCGCCGGCCGACGATGCTGTCTTGGAAGTCGTCGCTGCTCCACCGCGGCCCATGGACCTGGACGCAGCGATCGCAACGCCGGTCGTCGCTGCGCCCATCATCGACGCAGCAAGCCTTGCTGAGACACAGGTACGCGCGAATCGTAGGCCGCGCTGCTAAGAATGAACCAACAGGCCAAGGAGGATGCGGACCGGGCAAAAGAGTGGACGCGCCGGTACATGGAAGCGCAAGCCAACAGCGACAAGGAGGACGACGAAGATGACGAGAGTCAACTGTCGCCCGAGGCGCGCATGTGGAAGCTCGAAGTGGCCTGCGCAAAGAGCGTTGTCGACGCGCAGCGTGCCAAGCGCGACGGCGGCGATGCGAAGCGATGGAATGCCGAGATCGCACGCCTCCGACGCGAGATGCGCGAGCTCGAGCTGTACGTGGACCGTGCCAAGATGGCGCCCGTGCCCACGTTCGAGCTGGACGACGCTGCGACGGCGCCACCGCCGGCCACGGCTGCGACGGCAACGACAAGTGCAGACAACGACGACGACGACAACGACGACGACGACGACGACGACGAGGGCGGTGGTTTGTTTGGCATGCTCGAAGAGAGCGCGCCCGTGGCGGCCATCGTGCCGACAGCTGCTGTTGTCACCTCCGTGCTCGCCCCCATCGACACCAACATTGGTGGCAAGTGGACGGGCAAGTCACCGCGCGTGCAGCTGCAAGACTACTGCCGCAAGCAAAAGTGGCCCACACCCGCGTTTACGCAAGACAAGACGGCCGGCAAGTTTAGCTTCTCTGTCTCGTTGACGCCAAGCGCCAAAGCCAAGTCGAAAGCGGTCGCCAAGGTCGTTTCGCTGCCCGGAGTCTTGTACGCGACGATGGACGGTGCGAAAGACGCCGTGGCAACGCGCGCGCTGTACGAGCTGGCGCCCCACTTGCCGCTGCACCGAGGCTTCCCGCCCTTCTTCCGCGACATGTGGTGAGTAATAGATCGAGCATCGTGTCGGGTGGAAGCGGTGTGTCTAGGCTCGACTGGGAGCGCGTCAAGGACGACGCCAAGGCAGCGGCGCAGTCGGCGTCGCGGTCATCCAAAGACGCCATTGTCCAAGCACTCTTTCGTCTTTGCAAGGACGAGAGTGCAGTCGACGCATCGGACAAAACGACCGTTCGCACGACGCCGCCGCCGCCGGTACCCGCCGTTGTCCTCGACTCGTGGGACGACGACGACGACGAGGATGCTGCAAGCGGTGCCGTCGCAAACGACTGGGAAGCGGCTGTTGCTTTGCCAGTGACACCACTCGTCGATGAACGTCTCCGGGCGCAATGGCGGGACCGTGTCCAGAGCGCCAAGTACCAGAGCTTTGTGGCGAGCCGCAATGCGCTGCCGATGGCGGCGTACCGAACGCAGATCCGCGACGCTCTCCAGTCGCACTCAGTCGTGCTCATCTCGGGCGAGACAGGCTGCGGCAAGAGTACGCAAGTGCCGCACTTCCTCCTCGACGACCTCCTCTCAGCCGGCCACGCGTCGGGCTCGATCATCTGCACGCAGCCGCGCCGCATCGCTGCGATCGGTGTCGCCGAGCGTGTTGCGAACGAAGTTGGCGAGGTCGCCGCGTCTGTGCTGCATCATGGAATCTCATGGCCGGACTTTTAGGTCGTCGGGAAAGGCTACGTCGGGTACAGCATTCGCCTCGAGCAGCGCAAGAGCGCGCAGTGCAAGCTCCTCTTTTGCACGACCGGCATCCTCTTGCGGCAGCTGCAGTCCAACATGCACCTCGACGGCGTCAGTCACGTCATCGTCGACGAGATCCACGAGCGCGACGTCCAAAGCGATGTCTTGCTCGCGCTCCTCCGGCGACTGCTCCGGCGCGGCGCGCAGCTCAAAATCGTGCTCATGAGTGCGACGCTCAACGCCGCGCAGTTCCAGCGCTACTTTGACGACTGCCCGCTCCTCCAAGTGCCCGGTCGGCTCTTCCCCGTCGAAGTCCGGTATCTCGAAGACGTCTTGGAAGCCACTGGACACATTGTCCACGACGGTACATCGCAGGATATGTCAGAAAAGGTATTCACCTGGGGCTAGGGTCCAAGTACTGCAAGCCGGACGGGCATTTTACGCAGCAGTCCAAGGTGTCGGTATCGAGCCGCGGCGGCAACGTCAACCAAGTGACGCTGTCGTGGTCGACGCGTGACGTGGCGCCGACGTCGTGGGCAGATGACAGTGGCCTCGACGCCGTAGACGGGTACTCGGCGCGGACGCGCGAGATGCTTGCAAAGATCGATGCGGCCGTCATCAACTACGAGCTTATTGAAGACCTTGTCGCGCACATTCTATCCTCGCCCGACCACGATGGCGCGATCTTGGTGTTTCTAAGCGGCCGCGGCGAGATCCGCGCGCTCTTGGAGCAGCTCGATGGCAACCGCGAGATTGCCACCCGCTGCGTGCTCCTGCCGCTGCACGCGTCGCTCTCATCGTCCGAGCAGCAGCGTATTTTCCAGTCGTACCCGCGCAAGACCAAGGTCATTGTGAGCACGAACCTCGCCGAGACGTCGCTGACCATCGACGACGTCACGGTCGTCATTGACGCCGGCCGCGTCAAGCAGATGCGGCACGACGTCAAGACGCAGACGTCGTCGCTCACCGAAGTGTGGATCGCCAAGGCCAACGCCAACGTACGATCCACTCTCATCCTCATCCTTTCGACATGATTCCATAGCAACGGGCGGGCCGCGCGGGCCGTGTCCGACCCGGTGTGTGCTACCGCCTGTACCCAAAAGACACGTTCGAGTACGAGCTCCAGGCGCAGCCCGTGGCCGAGATCCACCGTGCACCGCTCACGTCCCTTGCCCTGCAGCTGCACACGCTCGTGGGTCAGGATGCGCCGTCGTTCTGGGCCGATCTGCTCGAGTCGCCGGCCGACCAGGCGATTTTGGATGCGACGAACGAGCTCTCGCAGCTCGGCGCCGTCACGCCGCAACAAACGCTCACGGCGCTGGGCAAACACCTCGCCGCCTTGCCGCTCGACGTGCGCGTCGGGAAGCTCCTCCTCTTTGGCGCTATCTTTCAGTGCCCGGGTCCGATCGCGATCATCGCTGCGATCTTGGAAACCAAGAGCCCGTTTGCAGTGCCCTTTGGATCCGAGCGGGATGCCAAGGCCAAGCGCGCGCTCTTTGAGAGTGCGAGCCAGAGCGACTTGCTAACCGACTTGGCGGCCTACGACGCGTGGCAGCGGTCGACGGACCGAGCTGGGTTTTGCCGTCGCAACTACCTGCACCCGGCGGCGCTCGAAGAGATTCGCAAGCTCGCGGCGTCGTTCGAGCAGCTCCTTGTCCAACTCGAGTTTCTACCGCGCGACTATGCGAAGCAGCAAGGACGCTCGAATGGCTTGGCCAACGACGAGGCGGTGGTCGCTGCGGTCGTCGCGTCGGGCTTGTACCCGAACGTGGTCGACGTGCAGGTCGATGCGACCAGTGGCGTGGTCCGGTTCTGGGAAAAGAAGAAGCAGGTGCATTTGCATCCGTCGAGCGTCAACCACGGCCGCAAGACGTTCTTGACGCCGTACCTTGGCTACCACATCAAGCTCCAGACGTCGCGCGTCTACGTTCCGGTGAGCAGTAGCATCACGCCGTATGCGCTGGCCTTGTTTGGCGGCGCGGTCGACGTCGATGTGTTGCAGCCAGCGCCGGCGCTGGTCGTGGATGGATGGCTGTCGATTCCGGCTAGTGCCCGGACGGCGATGCTCGTGCTTGAACTTCGAAAGTGTCTGGCCGACCTCCTCCAACGTACGACCGATCTTGATGATGGAGCGGAAATGCATGGTCACTTAGGCAAAATCGATGCGCCGGGTTGCGACGATGCGCTGGCCAAAGACGCGATCGAGGCCATGGCGCTGCTCTGGAAGAACGAACTCGAGCAAGTCACATGCTCGTCCTAGATGCTGACCAAAGCCAGTTGTGGAACACGTTGTAGCTATAGTCGTGTGGATGACCAAGGATTCGCTTCGACGTGCGTACCGCCAATGATCTATTATCTACTGGAGGTGATAGTCGGAGCGTCCACACTCTGTGCTGTGGGCCTTGTGTCGGCGATAGCCAAATGGCGGGAAGATTCTGGCAGGCAGATCCGACTGGATGCATCCTTGAATCGCTGCATACGAGCCAAGCAATCGACATTCTCGACTGCGGCGCTAGCATCATTCGAGCTCTGCATCTCCTTTCAGAGCCCAACGTTGACCATCATCTGGCTCCACTGCAAGGTCTCTGACATGCACCCTTGACGTGTGCCGCCTGTATCTGGATGACACCATGGCTGGTGCGTGCTGAAATCCGGTCGATCTGGAATGGGTGTCGAAGCTAATGGCTCGTCACCAGCAAGTCATCTCAAACGTGTACATGATGCGTCTCATGATTGGATACGACACCAGGAAGTCGTAGCCTACCGTCTGCGTGCTAGTGCGGCGCGTTTGAGAGTGTATAGTGGCACGATCTTGCCTTCCTAAATATCGCGGCTAAATCCACCACCCTTAATATATCCGGATATGACGTGGCAAACGCCAATGCGATCCTGGAACAATGGCTTCGCCCGAAGTCCACGGCTCGACCGAAGTAATCGCCAGAATCGAATCTCTCGTGTCAACCCAACCATGAAGCTCGCCGACTTTGTCGTCAATGGACTCAAGCCCGACCGCCTCAAGTGGCTGCGCGGCGAGAGCACAGCGAACGGCGGCCGCCACGTCCTCTACTACATGCAGGCGTCACTGCGCACACGCTACAACTACGCGCTCCATGCTGCGATCAAGGCCGCCAACACGCTGCAGCAGCCACTGCACGTGCTCTTCACGGTCGACACGTCGGCCGAGCGCATGTCGGAGCGTCACATGGCCTTTCTTCTCGAGAGCCTCAAGGACGTCCACGCCTCGCTGCATGCGCAAAAGATCCCGTTCCACGCGGTGCACTGCGCGCACGCCTCGAGCATGACGCCGGTCGAAGCCGTCGCCTTTGCGAGCGCGAACGCCTCGGTCGTCGTGACTGACCACCCGTATCTGCGCCACGAACGCCGACGCACCGAAGCGTTTGTCGCTGCCGTCAAGGTGCCCGTGCTGCAGGTCGAGGCCGACGTGATGATTCCTGTCGCCACGATAAGCAACCATGAGGAGCACAACAACGGCACGATCCGACCCAAGATCAAGAAGCTCATGCCGAATTACCTCCTGCCGCTGCCGCCATTGCGGTACCTCAAGCCCACCGCGGTGCCAGACACGTGGTCGCCGCCGCTGACACCGCTCGACTTGAGCGCGTCGGTCGAGAGCCTCTTGGCGGCCGCATCCGACGTCGACGTGTCGGTCCCGCGGGTCTCGACGTACCTTGGTGGCGAGACTCACGCCCAAGCGACGCTCGAAGTGTTCCTTCGAGACAAGCTGCTCGACTACGAGACCGAGCGCAACAAGCCGGAGAAGGACGCGACGAGCAACCTGAGTCCGTACTTGCGCTACGGCAACATCTCGCCGGTCGACGTGGCCCTCCGCGTGCTCGCCACCGAGGGCCCCGAGCCAGCCATGACGCTCTCGCGAAACCACATGATCGACGAGATGGTCGTGCGCCGCGAACTCGCCGTCAACTTTGTGTGGTACAACCGGGCACGGACTACGACTCGCTCG